TGCTGCGTGTGTGTGTGTGTGTGTGTGGTGTGTGTGCGCACGTGTGTGTACTGGGGGGTTGGTGGTAATGTACACTTAAAATGCAAAGTACCTGACTGATAAGAGACACTTCAACCAAACTAGCCATTAAAAAAAAATCACAGGCATCTTCAAAAGCTTGTAAGTCTGCAAAGCAATTCCCAGCAGTCTGGGAGCTCATCAGACCTTGAACTAAATAAATATGTTTCAAGAATAGATATAGAGTTATTTTTCAAATGACTGTAGATGTTCTTTTGAGAACTAAAATACACATCTGAAATTATTATTGACATTAGTTTTTCCATTATGATTTTCTGTAACAGTGGGCACTAAAACTCAAATTATTATGTGGAAGTCTCCAATCATATATGATGTTGACATAAGTTCTTATACTTCAAAATATTACTAAGACACAGATATAGGTTAAACTCCTATTCTCTTTTGACAGAGCCAAATTGACTTATATTTATAGGTCCAATTTAACATTAGTTTTCTGTTTTTTGCAAAGATCTCTGTGCACTATGCAGAAACAGAGCTAGAAGAAACAATTCTAGTTTTTAAACTTATTTCACAACTAGCATAGCTATTATCTGGCAGTTCTCATCAGACCGTCAGCTCTGCATGAGGTATAAGGTAGCCTTTTTCCTCAATGATGTGTTTATTCGCTCAGTCTCCAGCTGTCTCTGTAATAAATCAGCTAGTTCAAGAACAACCAGCATGATTGCTTCAACTGTCTTCAGGATCAATAAAAAAAACAGTAATTGAATTGATCTCCCAGTTTCCTCTTGTGAATTTCAACCTTTTTATGAGAAAAACAGGACTTAAAAGAGATGCCTGTATTTTTATATGCATGTGCACATTCATGGGCCAACCTGCATCCTGGCAAAAGGATCCTCAATGGACTGTCCCATTTCTTAGACTTCCCTGGAATTTTGTTGTGGTGAACATTCCTTAAAATAAATGGACCTTCAGCCATTATTAGAAACTGTATTAAATCATTTGGTCTATGGATTTGGTTATGTTACAATTTAGTTCGAAGGAAGGAGTTAATTATAAAAGTGAAAAAGGAACCTTGAAGTTGGAATTAACTCCATCCTCATTTTGTTCTTCTAATAAATAGGCGAAGTTTATGAAGAAAACACACAAATCGCTGGGTAGCTCTTCAGGTAAACACCAGGTTTTCTTATTGTTATTTTCCCACAGGCCCTGCAGAAGTTATATGATTGATTTACACGCAGCAAGGGGATCCTGAGAGCACTTGCTAGATTACAATTTGTAATACTGAATTTATAAATCTTGGACATACTCTGTTATTTGAACTTAATTTGTACAGATGCAGTAGCTTGCATGGAAAGTACTCAGCCGGAGAGTAGGCCTATTGGTTTTCTCTGGTCCCTTGAGAAATAAGGGCCATGAATTTCCATAAAGCAAATGAGTTTTGAGTTAGTACAGCAGTGAGCAGTAACAGCTCCCCACCGAGACAGAGCAATGGGTAAGCCTGGGGGCAGATGGGAACAAATTGTATCACAGCCAAGGAGAATTACAGGAAGCCCTTGTTATTTTCCTGTTTTCTGAATGGACCCCTGCAGAGGCAAGAACAGGCAGTAGGAATCAGATTTGCCACCTGCAGAGATTCAGGAGAACAAGAATCAACCCATGGATGTCTTGTGCTGGTCAGGATATCGGAGATTGAATTGTAACTGGTTCTAAGTCAAAATGATGGAGAAAAAAGAGTTGTTATTTAGCGAAAGCAGGGAGTGGGGAGGGTTGTAGCTGACCCACCACGATGTCAAGTCATGAGCACAGATACATCTCAATTGGTGGTGTGCACCTCCTAATCTAGTCTGGTATTTCTTATTCTAAGGAGCATGTATTTGTGTGATGACAAACATTTCAGGGACAAGTAAAAAGTCTTAAACACAACAACAAATAAATAAACAACAGCAACAAAAACCCAAATTAAAACCCAAACAAAACCTCCCCCAATCCCCCAAACCTTTAAAGAGTAGGCAAGTAGGGAATAGGTGTTTCTGAAAACACCTAACTGGCCACTTCATTCAAATTCACTTTATAAATGATACCTCTTCTTTTGGAAGTCTCTGACGGAATCCTTAGATGATAATAGCCACTGCTTTCAAAGGATGATATCTTAGAACACAGCAAAGAAAAGCCACATGTACCACTATGATAGGAAAAGTACAGCATTTAATACTGCATCTCAAGGCTGTGTTGTGTGAAGGAAACTTTGGGCATATAGCGTGGCACATGGCACTTTTTTATTTGGGGAAAGTAAGAAGCCTAATGTGTCACCAGCAGGACACGCATGTTTACCTCTGCTTGGAGAGCCTTTGAGGGGTCACTGAAGGGTGTACCCCTGTCACTCAGCCTTCATAATGCAGAGCAGTGAACAATCGTGGAAGCCAAATCTGCCTTGCAGATGAAAAGAGGAACCAGCTGATTCTAGGCTTAGTTGTTTTGGTGTCACAGCAGCATGGGGTGGTGACAATTGCTACCACAACCAGGTACAGAATATGAAAAGCACGTCTGCAACCCAGAAACCCAGCTCCTGAGAGAACCAGGGGAAGAAAGCCTATGAGACATTTGAATTTTGCAAATATTGTGTAGTGTTGGGACACTTCTGCCCTTCTTGAAATGGGGGAAAATAATTGCTGTTCTCCTTCCCAGAACTTCTTTGTCTTTGTCCTCTTAGACAGTGAATTACAACCTTTAGGTCACACAAATGTAATCTCCTCTCCTTTCTCACTGATACTTGTTAATTAAAGCAGTTTTGCTCTGCTTAAATTAATGAAGCTCGCGCATGATGTTCAGTGCATGTTAAATTTTACTCTTAGGAAAATGGTTGTCCCTTTATTTCCTGTTTTTCTCTTCTACATCTTCCTTGGTTTATACCACTTCTCTCATTTCCACTTGGTATTTTGTAACCCTGTGTATTCATTGAAAAATTTCTAGCCTTGGTGGGCAGTGAAAATTTAAATAAAACATTATGCATTTGAAGCAAAAGAGTGAAAATTTAAGAGACTGAAAGCAAATGGGATATGATAGCCTGTTTTCAACTTTCAGGTCCTTTCAAAAGTCAAATTGCAAAGGAAGTTGCAGGTAATATTGGAAACCACCTTTCTCTGGAAGCTTTTTGTTGCTAAATATTCCTATTATAGTGCATGTGACAATATCAAGATGAATTTTCTCCACTATCTCAAAGGACTTCTGTGCTCTTTCTTTAGAACCAAAACAGATACTTATTTTTCTTTATGAGTATGCTTATGCTAAGAATGTGATACTATTAGTTGGAACTTAAGCAATAAACCTCTAAATCTAAACCTGTGTAATGAAAGAGGTTTATTGCTTACGAGGTTTGAGTTTTATGTACACAATTGTAGGGGAGGTAGTAAACTATATTTGATTCATGAAATAGCTTTGGATGACAATAGATCATTGAGATGTATGATAGAGGCAAAGTCAAGTACCATCAAAATTGTCCCTATCCCGCTGCATGGGATATAATTAATATTACTGTTCTTTCAAAATTGAAAATGAAGATACATCATCTGAAAAACATAAATATATCTATTCTTTCCCTGAAACATTTTGGGCTGATCTGGTTAATATTGGGCAATTTTTACACTAACAAAAAACTAGTATAGTTTTGTTTTGCTCCCACAGGACAGAAGTTTTCCTGAAACACAGAGGGTAAAACTGTCTAATGTAGATGCTTCTGCTCAGCTGTGGCCTTTGGTAGGTCCTGTATCTGGTCTGAGAGATTCTACGGAAACTTTGCAACTTTCAGTAGAATTGCTACTTGCTCTACAAAATGTCTGAGTGCCTTTAGAGATAATTTCTTTGTGTAAAATGTAGTGAGGAGAACTACTTTCTCTGAGTGGCAGCATGTGTTGCCAAATAATTCCACTGATAGACTGGATAAGATGAGTAAGCTTTCATCTCTTTTCCTTCCCTTTATTGTTTCTACTTGATTCTTACCTTGCTCTTCCCAAATAAATAATGAACCTTCTGCATTGTCTCAGACCTAGTGGTATGTTCTAGGAGCATATTAATGTATTGCAATAAAGTTTTATTTTAGTTTCGAGCATATGAAGTACTTTTCGATGCAAATGGATCAAAGACTTACTGTCTTTTGAGACTGAGACAGAAAAGAAGGGCTCACCCCATGTGTCACAGAGATCATATGGAAATAGCACCCCATTTCTGTAGGTATGGGGTGGAGTGTTCCTAGGAACTAACGTCTTGAGTTTTAACATTCCACTGCATACCTGTGGAAAATAACTTCTTCTGTAATTTTGTAAAGTTTAAGTGCAATTTCAAGTGCAGATTCTAATGAAGTTCTCAGTACAAGGTAAGAAATGCAAAGTGAATTGAAAAAGCATATTCTTAAATTTGTTTAAAATGCATGATGGGAAAAACCCCTAGAAAATCGATCTTTCTTTGAGTATCTGCCTAGGGTCTAGAATAATATTTTCATATATTTGAGTCAGAACTTGCTTTAAAAATTGATACATTTAACTCTAATAATTTCTCAGCTCTTAAAATTCTTTTAAAAATATATACACTGCATTTATTCAATATTGTGTGGAAAGTACCTTGTTACAAAAGTACTTTTAGTTCACTCTCAATCTATTTTTCCTCCCCTAAAATCTCAGTGTCAATGGTTCTTATATTTGTGATTCATGTGTCAGAGGTGTTTGAACCAGAGCAACTCCATCTTGAATAGGGGCTGGGTAAAATAAGGCTGAGACCTACTGGGTTAGGTATCAGGAGGTTAGGCATTCTAAGTCACAGGAAGAGATAGGAGTTTGGCACAAAGTACAGGTCACAAAGACTTTACTGATTAAAGGATGTGGTAAAGAAGCTGGCCAAACCCCACCAAAACCAAGATGGCAACAAAAGTGACCTCTGGTTGTCCTCACTGCTCATTATACACTAATTATAATGCATTAGCATGCTAAAAGACACTCCCACCAGTACCATGACAGTTTACAAATACCATGGCAATGTCAGGAAGTTACCTTATATGGTCTTAAAAAGGGAAGAATCCTCAGTTCTAGGAATTGCCCACTCTTTTCCCGGAAAACTCATTAATAAGCCACCCCTTGTTTAGCATATAATCAAGAAATAACCACAAAATAGCCAACCAGCAGCCCTTGGGGCTACACTGCCTGTGGAGTAGCCATTCCTTGCTCCTTTACTTTCCTAATAAACTTGCTTTAGAGGGAGAAGAAAAGGAAACATCACTTAGGTAGATAGCTAAGACTAGTCCTTGGAGAAGCAGCCTGCCTGAAAAATCACAGCTACAGGCAAAAATGGATCAGCCTGGGGAAAACTCGGACTTTAACTGCTGCACTGTTAGAAGGTAAGGCCCAGCATAGAAGCCTTTTGTTCATTGTGCAATTAGCAGGCTCCCAGGAAAAAGTTTCCTTCTTTTTTCTGCTCCATGGGAACTTGCACAGGGAGGATAGAAGCTTACTTAAACCCACAATTATACAAACAAGAGAAGCTACGTTTTGTGCTCTCCTGGAGACATCCCGCAGCTGCATATATAGAGGCAGTTGTAGAGATAGCTTTCAGATAAGAGAAGTTACTCAAATAGCTACGGAGATGAGAGGAGTTTCTGATAAAAGCTTTGGATTCAGCTATAAAAACAGCAACTCTCTTGAGCTCCCCTCTCTGCTGCAGAGAGCTTTCTTCTTTTGCTTATTAAACTTTCACTCCAACTTCACCCTTTGTGTCCATGCTCCTTAATTTTCTTGGTTGTGAGACAACCTCGGATAACACTTTAGACAACAAGACCATTGACTCTGACCTGTTTCACTTTCACTTTACTCTATGGACTCCCCCGAATTCTTTCTTGCATAAGGTTCAAGAACCCTCTTTTGGGATTGGGATCAGATCCCTTTCCAGGTAACAGAATTGCTTAGGACACAGTAATACTGTTTGCATTAAATTGAACTTGACTCATCTGTCTACTGCTTTAAGAAATATCATGGTGGTATTACATAACAAAAGGTTGAACATTTGCCACACACTGCCCCTCACAATGCTATCCACATTTGGTTTTGCTTCTGGAGCAGTTTGTAATGTACACAATTCCTTGTACTTTTAACGTTTTTGATGACAGTGGGGAACATTGACTATGGGTAAAATTGTTTGTAATTAGATGGATTAAATGGCTCTTTAATGGATGTCCCAGAGTTGAACTCTTTGACTTTTGCCTTAGACCTTACTGGCAGTGGTCTTAAATGGAATCTGCATGCCCTCTTCTATGACTATAGATCCTGAACCATCTCAAACTGGGGGAAATAGGGTAGTCCCAGACATTTACAAAGTTTCATGTTCTCACTCTTTTCCTGAGCCCAAGCAATAGACCTATGAGTAAAGAATTATGTTGAGAATCTAGGCAATAATCTTGATGTTTCTAAAATGGCAGTAAGGATTCCTTAAGAAACTAATTTTCTGTTGGTGGATATTTCTATGAAGAGGATAATGTTTCTTCCAGTAACAGTTTTTTGGTTCTGATTGACCTCAAGAATTGTTCGACCAAAACTTGGATGTGTGTGGCCAGTTGAGAGGCTGAGAAACTTAAGCTACCATGTCCTATTCTTAGGTTGCTTTGGCTAGAACCCTCTAGAATTTGTAATACCCTAACAGACAGTATCTGCTTCTACAATATTCATGGCATAAGCTGGAGAAATTTCTAGTGCCATCTTATCTTGGTAATTATCAGTCGATGGAGACTATGTCTATATAAAACTGATTATTATATGAGAGATGTAGTATGCATCTTATTTCCACATATTTACATGAAATATTTAATTGAAGAATTACCAAAAATATCTTGTTTTTAGCTTTTAAACATATAAATAGACTTAAGTAAAGACTTTGAATGTTTTGGTGGCTTTGTGACAAATATGGTGAGAATCTTTTCAGAGGTATTTTCTTTGTATCTTAGTTGCATTTCATATCTATGTTTCTGAATTTCAACTTTTGCCTAGCTCCTGAGATGTAAAAGGCATGCTGTGATAATGCTGGAAACAGAATTTGTTAGCATTTTTTGGTAATACTAAATGAGCTAAGTGAGACCTTTTCAATAATAAAATTTGCAAGTGAATGGATATCACTTTTATCAACACAGTCATATTATTGAAGAAAATAAATGTTCTCTTACCTCCTCATAACTGTCTTAGAAGTGTTTATTTTAAAACTGCAACTATCTATTTCAATGTTGAGAAGTGTTTCAAATGGCCAGATTAGCAGTCCTCCTTCTGACAGCCCTGTTGGGGTTGTTTATGACAGAAGGCTCCCCTTGAGGGTCTTCCTGTCTTCTCAAGGAGGTTTCTCTCAGGGTTTTGTGCCAAAGGTGAGCAGAGGTTGTTCCCAGTGAATTTCCCAAGTTTCCCTTGTTGTTTTGGTATTGATAGTTTTCATTTGTAATTTTCATTGCAAATGGAAAGCATTTGCTGCCTGGTAGGCGAAGCTTTTTGTATATATCATGTCACTTAATCTTTAGCACAATTCAGTAAGGTTGCTATTATCCATGGTTTCAAGGGAAGACTGACACTAGGAAAGCTTAAATATGTTGCTCAAAACCACAAAGCCAAAAAATTTCAGTTTGTTCAGATGTGGGTCTGCATGACCCTGAAGCTCAAATTTTAGCTTCTTCACTATACTCTTTTATTCAACATCATTAAATTGTTAAGGTAGGTCTGGAATATTACAGCTAGAGGCTTAAAACAAAAGTATGATCAAATCCCCTTCTGAGGACAGATACCCTTTTCCCATGAGGCCATTAATAGCAGAGTCCTAGGGATTCACCATTGCCCCAGTTGAGTCTCTTTCCTCTTCTTTCTTTTCTAATGATTAGCAAGTAAAGAGAGGTGCAGGAGCAAAGTAACCGTGGAGACTGAAGGAGAAAAGATCACTAACTACTTGGGACACAATAAACTAGAATTTCCATAGCAAGTGATCAGGTGAAGAAGCAAAACTTCTGCCCCTTATTTACAGTCTGCATTTCTGGGATAGCAACCCAGGAAGAACTCTCATCCTTAGGCAAGGGAGAAATTAGAAGGAAGAAAAAAGCAGAATATTCCATTTTCTTTGTTGTCAGATTTTATCAGAAACCTTAGCCCATCTAGTTGAGTCAGGGTGTCATGTTGCTACTTACCTTGGAATTGCCAGGAGGTTCTAACAAATTTTCCTTAAAAATGGTTTTGAAGAAAAATGTTGACATGCACTTATTTATTGTTTACTTTAGAATGTCCTTTAAAAAATAACCCCCTTTATTGTGTATTCTGTGTCGAGTCTCAAAAATGACATGGAAGAAACTTGTTCAAACACATGACATTTGTGGGAAAAGATAGATCAGGGCCTACTTGAAGGTGAAGTTGCTCTCAACAATGTGCCAGGTAATTCATACTAGGAGCTGCTGTTAGACAGAAACAATGATTGTTGAAAAACAGCCTGATGAGAAGAAGCAATACTATGTCATCCCTTGAGAGAAACCATCATAGCCCATGAAAAGCATGAATTTTCCTCCTCAGTTATTTACCTACAAATATTTCATTGTGTTCTCTTTGAATTATCCATTTTACTTATGGAAGCTCTAGTAGTGTATACATGTAAATATATACACACTAATATACTTATTTAACATTCTAAATCTTTCTAAGGTCCTAGTTTTAGTTACTTTGGTAAGAAAATATAAAAAATTAAACATAATACATGTCTGTTATGGAACATAATATTTGAGAAATAGAAATTGTTACAAACAAACATGAGGCTTCATCAGAAGGAAACACTAAAACTCTTATTTTGTTTTTTTCTCATCTACTGAACACATGGGTTGAGTCCACATAACTAGAGCCAATAGATCTGAGGGTAAATTCAGTTATTCTGATCCACGACAGATGTTTTCCAGAAACATTGCTTTCGGATATCTGGCACATATTTGCGCCTTGTCAGATCGATGAAGAAATGCAAATTTTACAATGGAGTCTTCTGGCAGATTGTAGACTGAGAAATACTCAGAAGTCAGCAGCCTAGTTTTTTTACTGGTATCTTCATAGATAACTACATGGTATTTGATTCACTTAATCAATGCTGACAAAAGTTCAAAGGGGAGAGCTTCTCGGCATAAGCCATCTGACTTGGCTGTCTACCTAGATCAAGTAAAATGGGTGATTGCCAAATCTCTACTATATTTTACAACAAAGAAAACCAGTCAAAGAGAATTGTCTTAGAGAAACTATTTAGAAGATTGACACTTTACAAAGGAAATCTTGACATTAAGCAGAGACCAAAAAGACCAAATATTGGTGATGACATTATATAAACACAATCTTCAGGAAAATATTTTTGGACGATTGTTAATATTTCATGTCCAAGTAGCTACACAGGATTGAAAAGTAGATGACACACTTTTCTATATGGTCATTTCAGTCTTTCTGTCTTGAGATTACATTTATTGGATCTATTTTTTTAAAAAAATAGCTTAAACTGTTCTGGCAATCAACAAGAACATCTGTCATTTTATCACGCTGATTCAAAAGGCATAAGAATTCTAAACTGAGTTTAAAAAAGAAAATAATATGTGGGGAGCATGCAGCATGGAGAAACCAGTGAGAAATAGCACATTTTAATGCTTGACTTCCTGCATGGGTGAAGTGATGAGCTCATTGACTATTACCTTTTGTGAACACTTAAATAGGAGCAAGAAAACTGCACATTTAAAACCAGGAAACAAACCATTGAAGGCCTGAGAATGGAAAATCCCCCATGACGACTCTTTGGAAGTATTTGCAGTGCATGAGATTCAACTCTTCTACAGCCTGACATATTACTGTGTTTCAGATTATGTTTCATGCTAATTTCTTCCCTTGCAGTTATGGAGCTAGATGAGAGAGAGATGCTATTTTTTTAAACAATACAAAAACAAGAAACAGAGGTGAAAATGATGTCTTAGCCACATGCTAAGTTTAAGGTGAACATTAAAGGTCAAAAATAGCATAATGCATTCATTCCCTTGCAAAGCACTAGCAGGACTTGGACCTTCCATACAAGGTGCTTTGATCAGAGGTAGCATTTACTTTGTGTGTTACTATGGTGAACTTAACAAAGGTGATTTTTCTTTAATGAGGTCATAAATATTTGCTTGAAAACAATATATTACAGACAGAAGGGTCACCTTTTATGATGACTTCAATTCACATGCCATGGTGGGTTTTGGTTCCATTGGGTGTCTTGCACAAACTGGACTTGTCAGTGTGGTATATTCCTTTCCTTCCAAATGCTCCACTTACTTTGTCTGTCCCTCTAATGTGCAGAGTGGAGTGGCCAGAGAGGAGAGAGGTTGGATGACCTAAAAGCACACACATTCCTAGAGAATTAGAGCTTCCTGTGCATTCTTGAAGCAACCTGCTTCCACATACATGGTGGCTTCTAAGCTTGGTGAAGGTCGGAATGGCATGAGGCCCTGTTAGGGCAATGGAGAAGTTTCTGCTTCCAGATTTTCTAGCTGAAAGGAGAGAAGGAGCAAAGACAGTGAACATTTCAGATGTGGTTGCAGCACACGCTAGTTGGGCATCTTCTGCCCATAAGAACTGTATTGAAGACCTTTACGTATACTTTCACCTGCAATCCTGAGTTTTTCTTAAATGTCAAGACATTAATCAATCTCTTCAGATACTATGAATAGTCTTCTGGCTCATTATGAAAATGCTCTTGAATTTGTGTACACTGCTGAGAAGAACTGTTTACTAGTCATCATAGAGATATTATTGATAATTTCCTTAGAAAATACATTTTAATCCAAACTCTTTCTCCCCCCTTTTCACCTTTTCCCTTTCTTTAGCCTAAAATCATTTATGACTTGACCAAGATTTTAAAAGAAAAGCAATGCTTTTTTCAGTACTTCTAAGCTTATTTCTAGATAAAGAGTTTTTTATTTTTTCCCAATTCTCAAAATTAATGACTTTTTTTCCTGTAACTGATTTGAAGTACACCCCACCTGACTCCCACCGTAAAACGGGCATATAGGTTGAACAATAATAATATTTGCCCAGAGACATGGAAATGTGGTCTTCTATTTTCAGGTAAGGAAAGAGGACTGTGGAATTAGAACAAGTTTTATAATTAACAAATAATTGTTGCTATCACTCATTATAATATTGCTGAGGAGAAAGAAAGGAGCTGTTTGTATAGTAAGTGTAAAGGGATAAAAGATCATTAAAAAAATTTTATTTTGGTAAATTTTCTTTATCCATGTGCTTTACCATTTGCTTTCTCTCTCTCGCTCTCTCTCTCTCTCTCTCTCTCTCTCACACACACACACACACACACACACACACACCTTTTTAAACCATTTGATGTTTTACCCTTAAATATTTCAGTACATGTTGTCTAAGAATAAAGAATAGATCAGATCATTCTCCCTTTAGGAACAGGAAGTCCATCATGGGCCAAGAGTGTCCCTGCACGTCCTTGCTGACCCTGACAAATTGCAAGGCCTAACTGTCCTCCGACTCTGATCATTTCTGCAGCTGATCACACAGGCAACTAAGGTAGGCACAGACAACTACAGCACTGACCACGATGTGGCCGCTTGCTCCTAGAGGAGGCTTGTTTATTGCTTTCCCTGGTGCTGAGACTTCAGCTCTGGGTTCCTCAACTGTGATACAACCTACCGTGTGTGTACTGCCATCTGGTCCAGTCATATTGCCTTGTAGGATTTGGGAGTAGGGAAACTGGCACTATCATGCTAAAGCTTCTGCTATTTGCTGTGCTGTGAGTAGTCAATCGCCTGAGTCTTTTGTCTACTTATGGCAACTATAGAGTTGTGGCAAAGCAATCTACTTGCTTGCTTAATCATCTCCTTTGGAATCCTGTTACTTCTTGCCACCTATCTTCTAAGAGGCTGAGAGTCTTCCTAAAATGGCACAAAGTGCAGGGTGCCAAGACAGACAAGAACTTTTTGGAGGAATAAAATGGCAAGAACTCATAAGCTGGGTTCAGGGACATTTGTGATCTCCCCGGGTCTGGTAGCAAATATTCTGGCCCAAATGGTGCAGAAGGTGGGCAGCGAGTGGTCCACCTCTCTCCTACCTGCTGATGAACAAGAGTTGAGTCAACAGATGGAGGCTGAGAAGTGAGGGATAAAATCTAACAAACTGCCATGGTTTTCTGTTTGCTCTCCGATGGGCTAGGGGACTGAGAGAACACTCTGGGCTCTTAGGTGGGGAAGCACAACTGTGTCAGGTTTTAAGTTACAATTGTATGCATCTGAAGGGTAACACATTCCCAGAGAGAGTACCAAGATGTAGATCCATGGGGACAGGGAAAGGAAAGAAGTCCAGGGATGCTTTGATCAGCTGACAGAGGGGCTGTTCCACACTTGGCTGCATTGGTGCAACGAAGGAGTAAGAAAGGTTACGCCTTAGAGCATGCGCACCAAGGCTGTCTCACGTGGGAACCTATGCTTTAAACCACTGTTCAAATTACATCATTGAGATAGAATCATGTCCCATAATAAGGTTTGCTACTCTGAATTTCTGTTTTAGCGATTACATTATGGCCAGTCCAAGAAGATTTTCTTTTCTGTTTTTTTGAGGCAGAGCCAAATTCTGTCACCCAAGCTGAAGTGCAGTGGCACAATCTTGGCTGACTGGAACCTCCAGCTCCCAGATTCAAGCAATTCTTAATGCTTCAGCCTCCCGAGTAGCTGGAATTATAGGCATGTACCACCACACCCATCTAAGTTTTGTATTTTCAGTAGAGACAGGGTTTCCCACATTGACCAGTCTGGTTTCAAGCTCTTGACCTCCAGTGATCCTCCCGCCTCAGCCTCCCAAAGCGCTGGGATTACAAACAGGAACCACCACGCTGCCTGTGTCTGTTTTTGATATCCATGCTCAAATGACTAAGTACCAGGTTCTCTTAAGGTCCTTCTCTTGTAAGGAGCACACATTTAATTAACCAGATTTGAAACAGAAAAAAAAGGGAAAGAAAGTAACTGTAGCCACTGGGCAAGGCTATTTAGAGCTCTGTTACCTACTACTTTGGCTGCTCCCAGGGCTGAATGTGTAATTGGTATTGATAATTTACATTCTTGTTCTGTAAATGCTCATGATGTCCAGGAGAGATTTTCTTGATTGGAAGAGCCATTTGTAGAGAGGGATAGAGGATTGCATGCACAACTGATCACAGATTGGCTTTGATTCTCTTCTAAGTTTTTTTAAAAAAACAATTTAGAATTCCAGAAGGAGAAAAGGAAACCACAGCCTTGATCAAGGACTTAAATACAATGGGACTCATGAAAATGTAATATTTCAATGTAACAGCTTTGTGTGGCCAGTGGAAAAAAGCTAAAGGGAATCTGGAGGCTTGTGGTAGATCGCTGCCAACTGAATATACTTGGTGTTATAGTTCTGGCTGTTACAGACTTTGTGACTGTAAATGAATCAATTCCCTGTGATAGCAACTGGTGTACCATTTTGGACTTTGGTCATGTATTTTTCTCAATCCCCTTTGCACCCAAATATTAAGACCCCTTCTCTGGCTGACTCTCCAAAACATGTTTCCTGGGCTGTTGCAGTACTACTTGAATTTCCCTGCTATTTATTGCCAGCAGGTGGATCAAAACACAGGACAAGCCTCTCTCTCTCTCTTTTATTTTTGCAGAGAAATTAGCCTTATTATATTGATGATACTCTATTGATAGGCTTCAATAATATTAGCAGATGCTAAATTACATGAAGGCCTAGAAAGACTTAATTCTGATAAGATACAGAACCCACCACCCAAGTCAAAATTTTCAAAGTGATATGTACTAAGACTCAAAAGTTGATCCTAGACAGTAAAGAAAACATTCTTTGCTCTATGGCTCTCCTAAGAGAAAGGAAGCCTGGCACTTAATTGGACTATTTAAGTTTTAGAGACAAGATGTGCCTTATCTATGCATGCCTCCTGTTGAGTCCTATGTACACCCTGATCAAAATGCCTGCCATGTATGGCTGGGGACCTAAGCTGCAGGTGGCACTTGGGTCAATGTAGCAGGATGTTGCAGCAGACCACCCAGGGGGCCCTTTTCAACTCCAGGCTTCTGGAAAGGGAAACAGTCTCCACCTGGAGGTAGACCCTTGGCATTATGGACTCACTGCCTCCCTGGCACCCCTACCCACTGGGGAAAGAACACCTTACACCCCGGAGATGCTTAGAGGAGGGAATAATCCATGCCCTTTTTGTCTCTGAATCCCAGCCCCTCAGTTGGCAAAATAATCAGAGATAAGTAACAGCTCTGATTGCCAGCTGGTACCACTGCTAGATTTATCGGCTGGATTTAACGTCCTCATCTATGCACTGTGGCATCAGAAAATCTTCTGATGGTGTTCTCTGAATTTGTATGGAGTTTGTATGGAATTTGTATGAATTTGCAGGAGGTGAGTGCCAACTGTTCCTGTTGTGTTTGGATTAATACCCAGGGTTCAGTGGAGCAATCCATGCAGATGATTGTATGCATATGCATATGGTGGAGCAATCTATGCATACCGTAAGAAAGGAAGCTAGGTGCTCATCTGAAATTTGACCTGTTAGTCTTCTCTGTGACTTATTCAGTTGGGTCTGGATCTTGGAGCACATGGTTGAGGTCAATACTGCAGACTGACCTCATCCTATGGATAGGATTCTGTCGTCAATAGCCCTAATCCAGTATTGACTGAAATAAGGGGAAACAGATTTGGTCATAGTCCTTGTCAGTATGTCTAATTCAAGTTGCTGATGGGGTGATGTAATCATATAAAAATTTAAGTGCAGCCAAGGATATGCTAGGCTGAACATGAATTATCAGGAGAGGCACTCCACTGGAACAACCCTACTCATTCTTGCTGACTGAGATGAACTGCAAGATCTAATTATCTTCTCACCCTGAGTTGTTTCTACAGCTAGTCAATTAACAACCTTCACTGCCTGACCACATGAGGACCACAGTATGACCACTTTGAGACCCTGACTCCTGGAGAAGGAGGACTGGTTTGTTCACTGCTTGCTACAAAAGACACTGAACCTTTGTCTCTGGGCTCCTCAGCTGCTTTGTAACTCACTGTTTGTGTAGCAGCAATTTGGGTTCATTGTGTCACATTATGAGAAGTAAAGGCAAAGGAGCTGGCATTACGATGCTGATACTCCTGCTGTTTGCTGTGTTATAATAAGTGGCTTTTCTCTGGCTCACTGAGTCACATTGTCTATTTCTAGCACCCATATAATTGTAACAAGCCAACCTGCTTGCTTGCTAAGACATCCTTTGCAGTTTTGCAACTTCCTACTGCTTTCTAAAGCTGAGTTTCTTTTCTGATGATAACCACAGTACAGCTAGTAGATTTGACATTTGACATGAGATATGATACTTAGATATATATGTTAGATAAATAGATATAACACAATTCTCTGCTATCAGTTTTCTATTATTGTCAACAGTTTTTTAAACTATAGTTTTTCCGAGAAGTCAACTAGCAAATCCCTTTT